TCCTCTTCAATTCGTAAACTAAAGTAACTGTTTACGAGTTGCTAGTTGTAAATTGCCTTTTGAAAAATAAAATTAGTTCAAAAGGTTGACTAGTAACAACGTCTCAATATCACGAAACAGATAATCACAAGCATCAACAAGGTAAGTAGCATACATACCAATAGAGGTGATACCAAAGTACTTGTCGCAATGGGAAGAGGCAAAGCCTCGAGACTAGGTCTCATCTGAGGATGCGATTCAATCAAAGAGAGGGTATTATGTGTCAAGACACTAGTTTCACTATTTTCCCGTTGTGCAAGATATTGAGTCACACTCTTGGGTATACTTAATGACACATCAGAGCTTATATGTATATCATCTGGGGGTATATCAGTCTTTGGCGTGAGTCAGCCTTCGGCTGAAAACTCGGGTGTAGAGCTAACTGCTTCTTTAGATACAATAGTATTCTTACTCTGTGCGTCAGTATAAACCGGTACAATATGTGCTTTAGCACTAACTCCGTTATTATCAATTTTTTCACTCTCATTTATATTTTTTCTGTGTACTAAAAATAGCCTAAGATCTTTGACGGGTTCATTAATTATTGCAGAGCAGGCCGTTAGACAATTCTTTGAATTATAACCTAAAGGGTCTACAGAAATATGTGCTTTGGTACTAACTCCGTTATTATCTAGTTTAGTTATATTTTTTTCATTATCCCCACCAACAATGGATCCCGATATATCTTCGGATTTTAGATACTCCAGCTCACTAACTTTCAAGGCCAGTTCAACTATCTTAGATTTGAGAGATTCGATTTCAGACCCTTTATTCAATGAGTCCTTCTGAACTAAAACTAACTTACCTTTTAATGATTTTATCTCATTCTGAAGTAATTTAATCTCCTCTGTTTTTGTAATATTCTTAGCTATAGATTCTGCGTAAGAAACATCTTGGCAGGTTTTTTCAATCTGTAACCGCTTAACCTCATTAATGAGTTCCAGAGCATAATTGCGTAATTTCTAGATTTTGTTTTTGACACCCCCTAGTTTCTGACTCAATTTGTTTCTCTCTCGATTTCAACCTACCCTTTCTCGATTAAAATCTTGCTCTTGCTTAATGCATTTATCCCGCAACTTACTATTATAATCATGTAATTTAGAAGAGGATTGAAAATTACAACGTAATTCTTTTTCAAGATCTATCACATGGACCATATCAATTAATAAATAATATAGCAAAAAAAAATACAGGTAAACCCAATATATGTCTATTATGTATACTACGCATACTATGTATACTACGTGTACTATATCTGTTGTGTCTACTATGTATATTATATATACTACGTGTACCATGTATACTATGTGTACTATGTCTATTATATCTACTATGTATACTACACGTACTATGTATACTAATTACAGATACTACGCATACTATCTATACTAATTACAGATACTATGTATACTATCCGTATAAATATTTTTTTTAATATATTTTTTATTGATATTAGTATTACACATACTACACATATAAATATTTTTAATGTTAATATGGTTAAACGTATACGGTCTGATGCTGTTCCATTATCTTCAGAAGATTATAAGTTTATTATATAGTACTGTGATGCAAAACCTAAAACTGATATTTTAAAGAAGTTAAGAGAAAGATATCCTATGACAAATAACCGTTTTTATAAAATTTGGAGAGGGCAAGAAGTTTGTATAGTTGAATGGTACCAACCGATACCAGATACAATGGTAGTTTCAAATCAAAATTTATCTATACCTGAATCGTGCTCATCAATGGAATCAACACAGTCAAATATCGATCAAGGCACTTTCACTGATAAAGACGACATGGGTAAAAAAATACAATCTATAAATTATGTTACACACTCTGTAGGGGTGAAGCCCCATGCCACAGTCGTGGTACCCTCTTGATCTTACAATGCAATAGAAAATTCTATTGTTGCTTCTAATAAATGGATAAAGAAAAGAAAATCAAAATCTGAGACTTCTAATTTACCTAAAATAGAGGATATGGATGACTTATATACTTTGATAGAGCAAGAACGCAAAGGAATGGAAGAAACCTTACGCGAATCAGAAAGTGATTAATAACCTAACTAATCTATCTTTGCTTTCTCTATATTGGTATTCTTTTCATTTGATTGTTCAGATTTATTTTTATAAGTCCGTAGTTTTTTATTGAGTTCGATCAATTTAATGTTGGATTCAAGTACTTTATATAGTGATTTTTCCAGTTCTTTATAGCTCATGCGTTTTTTTTTAAAGTCGGATTATTAGGATCTAAGCTAAAATTCGCAGGAGCGCACCACTCGTCGAATGGTACATTGTCATTTCCATCCTCATATGTCTCCTGAGAAATTTGGTCCAATGTCGAAGACTTATCATCCTGAGCTGCAGTAGTGTAATTTATTTCGAGCTTGTTCTTAACCTTGATCATAGTTACAGGGATGATATGATCCTTTCCATTAAAAGGAATTTTTAACTTATCTTTGTCCCAATCCATAGCACATTTGTATTTTTTAAGTGTGAATTTGGAAATAATAATATTGGTTTAGGGGTTCTCACAATTATATAATCTTCACGTATAGTAAAACCTGGAGGAAATGTTATTGGTAAATTACAGGTAATACCAATGGATTCCGTTGGAACAGTGGTGGCCCCACTGAGATCATATATTTCTAATTTATCAATCTTTCCACCTACGCGTTTAACAATATCTTCTGATATAATTGCAGGTTCAGCTCCACTATCAATCACCATTGCTGAAATTTTTAAGCACTTGATTTTAACTGGTATAGTTGCAATACTTGTATTGGGTTCTTCCTTTTTTACAAAATCAATCTCCATAGGATCTTCCAACGTCTCCTCTTCCCTATCTGAATTGGATATTTCTTAAACTGGTTCTCTATAATTTGCGAAATCAGATTTTTTGGTAGATAAATATATATGACTCAAAGAGTCACCCCTAAAGGGCCTGGACGAGTTTTCGATCTTGGCTTTGAACTTCTCTATCCAATCTATAGGTGCGATACCATCAAGCATATTTAATACAGCCCTCTGAAGAGACTTATCAACAGAGCTGGCACGGTCAATAACAGTCGATTTATTTCGGAACTTATCAGAAGTAGAAGTATCTTTCTGTTTCGTTTTGCAGGGTTTAGATTTCTTCTTAGTCTTGGATTCCTTAGGTTTTACTTTTTTTTTGCTTTAGCGGCATTGACAGCATTGATAATTTTCACGACGTCATCTTCGGTAAAGTTATTCTCAAAATTAGATTTGGAGGAGGTATTCTCGGCATCAGACCCTGTCTCAGAATCAGATCCAGAATTGCTATCAGAAGAATTGTTAGTATCTGAACCTGAATCTAGGGTAACTTTATTAACATTACCTTTCTTCTTAGACCTGCTCTTCTTTTTATTTTTTGGGCATTTAGAAGAATTTGATCAATGACTAGTTCTACCGCACCCCGAACACCTGTGTTTGGATGATTTCTTTATAACTTTATTGACCTGTTTAGCTATATGCAATTTTAATTACTTTTGTATAAGATTGACTAATTCCTCATCAGAGTCAACTTCAACTCTCTTTATCTGTGGTTTTGGAGGTAATTCAGATTTGGGTATGGGAACGAACTCTGAAATTTCTCCATTAAGCCATTGTATAAATCTACCTATGTTTGTATCCTGTAAAGTCTGATACGTCCCAGCGGGGTGTAATCTATATTGGGGGGTTGACTGTGTAATTTGCTGAGATTGTTGAACCAGTGTTTGCTGAGATTGTTGAACCGGTGTTTGCTGAAATTGTGACACTATCATAGATTTTACATAGTTTTTAATTTTATCTGTCATACCTGTGTTATTTGTTATGTAAGGTTCTTTCGTGCTAGCTTTAGATCGTGATCAAGAAGTGGCAGGGTGTGAATCGGGGTTATACTCACCTAACATTAATTCAGCCTTTTGCCTTTCAATTTCTTTTAATTTTAGGAGTAAAGCGAAAATTGAATTTTCGAGACCAATACGTCATACTTCTAACTTATTATTAGGAGAAAGCCCCTAGAAGAATTGTTGTCTGATCATTTCTTCTTGATTTGCTTCTGGAAGAGTTGGATAGGCGAGCTTAACCATTCTTTTTAAATTTGCATAAAACTGACCCACAGGTTGATTACCTTGAGTAATATTGTGGAATACTACTTTTGATTTTTTAGCAATTATTATAGGATAATTAGTTCTAAGCCAGTATAGTACTTGTCCAATACGAATGCCAGCAGCTATAGTACATCAGTAATTATATTAATTCGAAAACCTTCGAAATTATATCGCAACGTTAGATTTCGAAGGTTATCGATTGT